ATTTATATTTATTTGTTTTTGTACAAATTAAGTTCTTATATTATGTAATTACTTATATAAATTAACCAATAAAGATACGAGCAAGACCTCACCTTAATACCAAAAAAAAAAAAAAAAAAAAAAAAAATATCAACTTTAAAAAGTTTAGCTAGCATTATTGCCCAAAAATTGATCTCAAAACTAATATTATGTATTAATTACAATTATATAAAAAACTATATAGTTTACAGAAACTTAAAATTACGATAATTTTACAACCCTAAATATAGGCCAATTTTTTTGCTGGTTTTAATTCTGGTCAAAATTTGCAGATCATTTGGCCCTGGGAGATGTTTTAAAACACATCTCCCAGGGCCAAATGATCTGCAAATTTTGACCAGAATTAAACCAGATATGAGGTCGGGATCACAAAAACAGACCTTAAAAGTCAAGACAATTAAATACAGACCGCATAATAAAGTAACAAAGTGTATCTTTAAGATCAGAGTTAGAGTCGAAGTTGGCAATAGTATATTCTAAAATTTTCGAGGATTTTTGATTTTAAACTTCATATGTTGACCTAGAATTTAAATGACAATTTTCTTTTTGAGACATTTAATAATTTCAAGTTATTTAAAATTACTGCTATATTGTATTGTAAAAGACCTGCGGGGCAAATGATTGCTGCCCTACATACGTATGTACGTTGAAAAAAATGAGTTGATCTCTGTGAACTATAATAAGACTGTAAACCCGAGGACTATCTTTTATGACTGCATTTTATGAGAATTTAAAAATCTTCAGACGAACTAATCCATAAATCCTAAACTCAAATCACTCAACTCGAAATATTTGAATCTGAATAATAATAACTGACTCATTCAATAATAGAGTCTAACAATGATTCGATTCGATTCGGTTTAAGATGATTTAATTTGAACTTGATTCGATTCAATTTAAGGCCGATTCATGGTTGATTCAATTAGATTAAGCTTAATTCAATCGATTAAATTTGATTCGATTCGATTCAAGGCTGGCTAGAACTGGGGCTTGGAATCGCTTCTCATAAGAATCGATTAGATTGAAAGGCTCTTATTGCTATTACTAGTGTTTCGGGCATGATCAATTAAAACATAGTGAACCGGCACTTGTAAACAATATAACTCAAGTTCCCGAAAGCAATTTCCCAAAAAGCATAATACCGACAAAGTTATAGTTATTATCATAATTCCTGGGACACCTGTAAAAATTTGCCGAATGATTTTTCGGCCGATTCGGTTTAGTTATATATTTCAGAAAAAATAAGATTTAGTAACAGATCAAATACGTAATTTAATAAGATCAGATGACTAATATATAAATATATATATTACAATAAGACTAAATATTGACATGTATACTTTAAGTCGTAAGATTTCAATCCTATTCTTTGGCATGATCTTTGACAAGTTCTGTTTTCATTCGAACAAAGTCTTTATTCATTTCTAATTATTTTTTGATAAAAATTCGTTTTTAAAAAAATTATGTAAAATTTCAATTCCTATTATCCATTTCAATCCAACAAAGCCTTTATTCATTTCTAATTATTTTTCGATAAAAATTAGTTTGTAAAAAATTGTATAAAACTTCAATTCCTATTCTTTGGCAAGATCCATTTCGTTCAAACGAAGGCATTTATTTATTTTTAATTATTTTTCATTTCTTGTCGAAGATGAAAAATTCGGGTTTAAAAAATTAAACTAAATTTCAATTCCTATTCTTTGGCAAGGTCCATTTTCGTTCAAATGAAAGCATTTATTTATTTCCAATTATTTTTTATTTCTTGTCAAAGACGAAAAATATATAAACAAATATAAACATATAAAATTTTTTACTTGGATTTCGTTTATCATAATTCTTCAAGCATTCTCGACAAAAAAATAGTATCTTGGTCACTTGGAATCCTAACCCGAGATTCAATTTTAAACCAGTCGATCATATTTAACTTTTTTAATAATGGCAATATATTTGTTATATAAAGTCTAATTTATATTCGTTTCCTTCTTGTTAAGGCTTATTGGTTGACATGAACAGTTTTTTCCATAAATTTTCGTACAAACTAAAGTACACCAACCATTTTTGGACAAGCATTCGAACGAAAATTTAAAATCGTTGACATTATTATGGTACGTAAAATGATCATTATATGCTATATATAGTTGATACTGTCTAATTGCATATACTTTCTAAATGCATAAAAAATTCCGACTTTACTAAAAATGGTTCTTATGACTTAAATGCATATATTGTCTATATGCATAAAAAAGTCTCTAACGGATAGTATGCAATTAGACAGTACCGACTGTATAATACAAAATAGATTAAATATGACGCGTCTTTTAAATGACGTATCTTTTTTTTTTAGACCATATTGTTCATAGGAATTAAATTTCACCGCGGTTACGAAACTTTTTGTCTGATATTTTTACAAGGAATTATAATCGTAATATCACTTTGCTTTCCAAGATTATTCGGTCAATGAATGAAAGAATTCTTTTTAGAACATATAAGTATCAGTCTTATAAGAATTTTCTGGAAAATTTACTGTAACCGAAGTAAATGCTCGGAGTTCGTGATCGTTTTGCTCTGAATAATTAGGACTACTAGATAATATTTGTGTTGGAAGTGTAGGGGGATTGTAGTAACAGCATGGAAGGAATATGGCGGCCTTACTGTTTGAGCCAAAAACAAGAAATAAAAGTACACCACTATATAATATAATATAAAAATTGTCAGTAAATGATTCAATGTAAAATTTATTTTGAAATAGAGACTCACAGTAATGCAGTAGAGAATGCCAATATATATTGTGATACAGGACTGCCTTTATGATATATCATCATTCGTGGGATAAGTGTGGCTAGAAGAAAGATAGTGCTAATAGAGCTAAAGACGCATAAACGAACAGAATGACCTAGTTTTATTGCCGTGGATCTGTTTTGATGGTAAGAAAAAGTTTTCCATCGTCTCCATAAAATAAAACCAGAGTGGCCTATAGTAGTATATGGTATATAAACAATAATAATAAATGAAAATAATACAAAATTATAATTTATATATATATATATATATATATGTAAAATTATAGATATATATATATATATACTATATTTATCTACTAACATGACATAGGTATCGAGAGTCCAGTTAGAACCAGATTAGGTATCACATATCCATAGTACGTTCTATCGTTAAATACAGGTATGCACATATACAAAGAAACTGTGGTACCAAAGTTATCAATATTTGCATCTATTATAATTGAAACTATTAAATTACAAATAGAATATAGCCAAATAGCTCCCGATACGTAATAAAGACACTTTTGTTCAATTCTTAAATCTTCCCGGATCAATGCGTACCATAAATAAAAAACTTTTAAATTGAAAAAAATGAGTTTCCATAATATTGTAAAAAGATGAAGAATAGGTAATAATGAACAATAGGTAATAACGAACAATATTATCCCTTACACCGTCTTACTATCATGTCGTAATTTCAAATATACTGCAATTTATACTATGATAACAATATAATATAAATAGATAGTTCAATCACAGATAATTTTTCTTACGAGACGGTGTGAAGAGAAAGTATGACCCTACCTATTACTAAAGGAAATACATGTGTTGGAAAGAATAAAAATGATGTAATTTTCTGACTTATTTTACATAATAACGAATGGATTCCTACAGTGCTTAAATCATCACCGAACATCAATACGGGTAACATCCCAATTGAATCAAAAAATAATGCAGATATGAATAATTGAAGTAATGTTGAATGCGTAAATTGAGATGATGAAGTTAATAAAGCAAAGACAAGGACACCCAAAAGAAAGATGCTAACAAATTGTAACACTATAAAAACTATAGTACTTAATTGATATGATGGCATTGTGAAAAAATCGTGAATGTCTTAAAAAGAGATGGGAAGATCTCTTAGGATATCCTGTATTAAAACCATGAATATACATGCTATTTAAGCAAGTTTTACAACCAGATAACGTTAATAAATACGAAATACATTATCAAAATGTTATCAAATTCTGGAAAGAAAATCTTGTACGTACCTAACCAATTGTTTTTCATATTGCTGTATTGGGCAGTTCCACATTCGAAAACATTAAATAACATACAAATTATCACCAATTAGGTTACGACATAAGATACATATAACGATAAACAATGCTGCAGCATTTGTAAACTATACTACAGTACGCGACATGACCCATTACAAAATATTTACAAATCATTTCAAATTTCGTCATTTACATAATAAGAATATATACTATCGTACGCATAGTATTATTGCAATATGAATGCAGTCAATTAAAGCCTGTAAGCAGTGTTGTACACGGACGTTGTCCCGTTAAAATTTCAGGGACGCGGACAGTCCCGGACGATGTCCCATGTCCCGGACAATGTCCCATGTCCGTGATGGTTTCCTATAGCACAAAGTTTATCAAGCGACCTCATTGGCTAAAAAGAATACTCTTATTATAATTTTTAATTGTCCGGGACGTTAACATTTTGGCGGACATGTCCGGGACGTCCCGTCCCGGACTGTCCGTTGTCCGTGTCCCTGTCCCATGACAACACTGCCTGTAAGTATCGGGCTTATCGAAGTGACAAATAGTGAAAACTTAATTTGGATTGTTTAAATACGCACAACAGTAATAACCGCCGAACTATAATCACGTTACCGTATGAGGTAAAAAAAATTGACAACAAAATCTATACCCGTACTACTTACCTAATTACGTACGATTAGTGATGGGACTAAAGATGCAACTGTCACTTGCCAAGAACTATTAAAAAATTCGATTCTTCATAAATTATTGAATGCAACAATTTAAGTATCATCTATTTTAACATCGTTAGTCCCATCACTACTGTATATACGATAACTTTAGAGACACGTGCTTATGTAATTAATTTTGATTGGGTTAATGTTATTAGTGATACAAATCGAAAATCGAAAAATCGATTAGTTGTCAACTAATCGATAAATCGATTGGAAAATTTTGAAAAAAACAACTAATCGATTGAAAAATTTTGTCAACTTATAATAAAATAATCGATTAAAATCGATAAATCGATTAGTTGACAACTAATTGATTGAAAATTTTTGAATTAGTCAACTAATCGAATGGAAAATTTTTGACGATTTGGAACACTAAATGTTATATAATTTATAAACTTCAAATTTTGACAGGATCGTAAAATATGATTTATGCAAATATGGTAAACACTGAATTATTTACATCGTTTTATTAAACGTTTATTCGCTTTTAGTAAATCGACTAACAAAGGTAAAATAAACCAAATTGCCAAGAAATCGTTTGCATAGCGAATAGTTGAACTAGATTAATATTAATAATATTTATATAGCAAATGTTTCACATTAGATAATAAAAAGCAGAATTCCGAGAGATGCGTAAAAGAGAAATATCTATATGTATTGCCTTTTTAAAACAACCATTATATTACGTTATTTTATAACGTAAATAATTTACTACGTACTGAATACGTAGAACTTTTGAATCGAATTTATCCAAAATTTTCAATTAAGTTTATGCTATGTCCTTGGATTAGAATGGACCGCATGCACACATAATCCCACTTCTGCATTTAAAATAAACTATTATGCACGTAATCTTTTATTTTACTAACAGCTAAATATTTTTGGCATAAACATTTACTGATCATAAGTGGTAAAATTGTTGCTTTTCTGCTTTCAAAATTTTCAAGCTTGATCTTTTGTAACTTTCCATATTTTTACTTTCGGTTTGCATGACTTTCTACCTGATATCTAATGATTTTCCGAATGTTTCGATACACCAAATGAATTGATCTAAATCTTGATCAAAAGTATAAGAGTATGGTAAGGATTAGAGTAGATATGCGATATAAATTTGTTACAGGTTTAGGTCGCAACTGTTTCTACCACATCCCTAGATAGAGATGTGCCGTGTACAGTATTGCATGTATATTCTGTACATACGTACGTACGTACGTACCTACGTATGTGTAGTGTAATACATTGTTCCATATATCGAAGAGAGAATAATATACTGTATATGCAAAATTAAAATTTAAATATCTCTTTATAATCGATTAAAGTATGTTATCTTGGTAAAATTTTGAGCGATTTGCGTTTTTTCAATGCCTCAAATTGTCCTAACTGTCCGTGTACAACACTGTGCACAACAATCTTCTAGTTAGTCAATCGTTCTGTGATATTTATACAATACTTTTTAAAAATGTAACATTTCACAGATAGAAAATAAGAATTTATCTTGCAAAACCAAAACAATAAAAGTATTTAAAAGGTGGAATCTCTATGATATTTATAACTATCCAGCAGTTTGCTATGATATATAGTTCTTATGAAATAATAAGTAATAATAATATCATTACTCGTTAACTTATATAACCAACCGTTTAAATCGCATAAAAAAAATTTTATAATGTCGGGTCGAATTATGTTGATTATGGGCCAAGACAATTTTAATTCCGGATGAATTAAATGATGAATACGGTTAAACGATTAGGCGATTTTTAATATTATTAATATAACCAATGATATTTCTTGTAACTAACTAATCATAAGAAAGTTATTCCAAAGTACGGTGTAAACAATATGCGCATTGAATATAATTGATATTAATTTCCTAAGCCAAATATAATATCACAATTACATAATAATATTTGGTGCAATCTAAATTCTTTATCAAGTTTAACAACTTATAGTGATTAATTATTGTCCCATTTTGTTTAAAATTTTTTAACTCGCGTTCTATAAATTATAACTAACTTAACAAAAACTCAATCTGACGATCACTTGGTACAAAACTAGCAGAAGGCAAAAAGTAAACTCTACACTAGAAAGAAGCGACAAAC